CTTCCTGACTGGTTGGCTGGAAGAGTGGAAGAGCGTGCAGCTCTTGACCTCAGGGTCATACATTCAAGCCCCACATTAGGTATAGAGATTACTTAAATAAACTAAATAAATAAATAGTACAATTCATGGGTTTTAGTATATTCAGAGCTGTTCAAATACCACCACAATTTCAGAACATGTTTATCACTCCAAAAAGAAACCCTCTACCATTAGCAGTCACCCTCCCTCCCCCAGCTCTAGGCAACCACTAATATACTGTGTCTCTACTGATTTGCCCATTCTTAATATTTTATATAAATGGGATATACAACATGTGATTTTGTGTGACAAGCTCCTTTCACTTTGCGTAATGTTCTCAAGGTTCATCCATGTTACAGCATGTATAAGTACTTCATTCTTTTTTCAATGCTGACCAATATCTAGTGATGTGGATATACCACATTTGCCTTACCCATTTGTCCAGCAATGGGCATCTGGGTTCTTTCTACATTTTGGTTAACATGAATAATGCTGCTATAAATATTCACGTACAAGTTACTATGTGAACATATATTTTCATTTCTCTTGGTTATATACATAGGAGTGGCATTGCTGCATCATATGGTAATTCTATGTTTAACTTTTTGAGAAAGTACCAGACTATTTTCCAAGGTGGCTGTTTTCCTATTGTGCCTAGAGACACAGAAGTCTGTATGACCCATAAAGCAAGAAATGGGGCCACTATATAGCTTTCAACAAACTCAATTTTGGCTTTGTAAATTATCATTCCTAAACTAAAATGGAAACATAATATTTCATAAAGTAATTACAAATACTAGGGAGTTTGTGGACAACTTGGATTCCTGGATTCTTATCCTTGAAAATCCATCTGCAGAGAGCAAGAAAAGGTACTATCTACTTCAGGGACTCCAAGAACCCTGCAGGAATATCTGAATCGCAATCTACTGAGACTAGGACTCTCTGTCTTCTATAGGTAGCAGCCCCAGGGAGGACAATGTGCAGGCTTGTCATTTCCTAGTGAGCAAGGCTTTTGCCTTTTCTAGAACCCTACAATGTGTAATTAGAAATGAGGACAACATGGTAGTGGAAAATTTCTTTCTCATTCTCCTCTGCAGGAGTCATAGTAATCCCTATGAATTCTAAGTATATCACCAACATATTTCGGCAAACTTTTCCTCTTGCATTTCTTCCACTCCTGGCAGAACTGCTTACTCTAAATTCCATTTCACCTTTGCTAGCTCTTTTGGGCTAATTTCAGTTAGAGACAGTGCCTGTTTGATCTTTGCTGATTCATCTTTTGTTCTTTTTTATGCGTATAGGAAGTTCTTACTTACTCTGGGTCTGAACTACATTAAATCCTTTCTGGAACAAGGTGAGGTGTAAGTATACACAGAGTTCCTCTAGTTTGAAACAGAAATTGCTCATAGATCTAAGGCAGAAATAAGGATTATCAAGGGATCTTATTTAGATCCCTTGATCTAAATAAAGCTAGCTCTAATAATCAATATTGGCATCTTGTTTTTGTGATCCATTAGGGTACAAAAGGTATATATTAAATTATAATTAATTTCCTCCTTAAATTTCTTTTTTTTTAATATTTAAATTTTTTTTAACATTTATTCATTTTTGAGAGTGAGACAGAGCACGAGTGGGGGAGGGGCAGAGAGAGTGGGAGACACAGAATCAGAAGCAGGCTCCAGGGTCTGAGCTGTCAGCACAGAGCCCTGACGCAGGGCTCGAACTCACAGATTGTGAGATCATGACCTGAGCTGAAGTCGGACACTTAACCAACTCAGGCACCCAGGCGCGCCCCTTAAATTTCTTTTTTTTTAAAGCAGTCGTTTTAAAGCATATAATTGTAGCTATATTTTGGTTATTTTACATCTTTATTCTTTTTTTTAGTTTATTTACTTTGAGAGAGAGAGAGTGCACGTGCGCACGCGCAAGCGCTGAGGAGGGTCCTGGGGCTTGAACTCACAACCCTGATATCATGACCTGAGCCAAAATCTAGAGTAGCACATTTAACTGACTGAGTCACCCAGGCGCCCCTTTATTCTTTCTAAAATTAGATTACATTAGCCTTTGTGATACAAATATTTGCTGGAGGTACTATTTGATCAGAATTCAACCTAATATTCTGTATGAGACTCTAGAGACCAAGCTACTCTTACCCTCTCACTTAGAATTCTAAATTCTTTAAAATAAAATAAAAGTTTGATAAAATAAAATTTGAAAAATGTTTCTCTATATCCTATCCCTTTCTAAGAACTCAAGGTGTTTCTGGAGAGTTTTCAAAAAACCAATTAATGTTATGGCTAAAGGTTACTGGGTTGCTGCATTCTTTCAAAGTAAATTTCCAAATAACTTTAAATGGTAAGGATAGAAGTTTTTTCAAGTTTCTTGCTCTTCCTTTTCTCTCTTTCTTCCTATTTGTTGTGTTCTAAGATTCTATCCATACATCTCCTCCTCCTTTTGCTGTTCAAATTATCCTGAAGCAATCTCAACCACTATGAGCTCCAGCTTCCCTTCGTGCACTGGCAATCCCTTTCTTTCTGTAGGCTGTACATCTCTCCTGAGGTCCTGTCTAGTATATCCAACTGTTTACTAGAAATTTCCACCTGGATGATCTCAAAGCACCATAAACATCTGAAACTGAATTATTTTATTATTACACCAAAAATCTCATAAATTCCCGTTTCCCATTTCAGCAAACGTAAGAGTCTTTTACCGGCAGCCAAGCTAGAAATGTCAACCTTGACTCTCTTTTCTTTGCTTTCTGCAATTAATTAATATTATTCTTTCTGCCCCATGAATACCCTTCATTCTCATTCTCTCCTCTTCCTCCCTCCTATCTCTATTTTTAAACTCTAGGTAAATCTATAGTAACTGCTTTCCAACTGGCCTCCCAGCCTCCATACTCCTTCCCATCTCTTTTCTACACATTGCTGCTATGGTTCTCTCTCTGAAACATGGACATAATCAGATTATTTTATATGTCAATTATACCTCAATAAAGCTGGAAAAAATGTTAAATGTCAATGATTCAATACCAGGTTCCTTGGGATTCTACACATGACTCTTCAAAATCTGGCCCTCCCCCTCTAGAAGAATCCCTGCCACTTCTTAAATGAGAGGGAGCATAGCATAATATTCAAGAATATAAGCACACAGTCAGACTACATGGGTCTGAATCCTGGTTCTGAATTTCTTGGCTAGGCAAATTCTTAACCTATTTGTGTCTCACTTTCTTCATCTGGCAAATGGCAGTGATGATGGCGATGCTTACCCAAATCATTGTGTTGTTACTACTGCTGAACATTAAGCACAAAAAGACATAACTGATATATTTTAAGGACTCAATAAACATTTGATAAAATCATCATGATCATTATCCCTCCACCAGTAAGTACTTGCTGTTCCATGCTCTTAAATACTTTGCTCTTTATGCTGAAAAAGCTTCTCTATTCCCTCTTGGTTTAGTACTACAGCCTTCAAGATACAACTCAAACTTAACTCTGCTCTGATGTTCTCTCACCTCCCCCAAGCACTTAGTTACGTCTTCTCTGTACACTCTACAATTTTTATATGTCTTCTTACAATTACACTTAGCACTGTATTGCATATATTTTCAAGTATCTGAACTCTCTCCTGCAACTTAAGTGAAAGCTCCTAAGGGTTAAGGTTGCATCTAAAAACAAGTACATTCCTCACCTTATTGCCTTGTCCAGTATCTAATTTAACAGGCATACAACACAGCTTTGCTGAATGAACAGATCTTTGTTCCTCACTTTATGGGACCTAATGGACTTTACTTTGCAGTACATTATCTCATTAAGAGCCTCAGACCATGTCTTCCCCATTTTTGTACCCTGAAAACACCCAGAAGGATAGATACACAGCAGACAAGAGCGGCTCAAAAATGATTTTGTTGGTCCAGGACCACAGAGACAAATTCAAATCTTTCCCTTTAGAACATCTGTCATTTGTCCACAAGATTTCTAGTGGGCTGGACTAAGTGAGGAAATGTGAATCTTCACATCAAACTATTTACTATGAGGTGCTTGAGTAAGAATGTAAACATTTTATAATTTTAGTTTTTGAAGTCATATTGATCTTGATTCCCTCCAGGACCCAAGTCTTCGTAAAGCAAAGTGCAAGAGACCTTTTTTCCCCAAGTTCTCATAAAGTACTGACATTGGTGACATGATTATATTTATTTCCAGCATGACTTAATTATTTATAGTCTTAATATCATTCGCTATTAATGACTCAAAACACACACAAAAAAGGCTTCTTTCAGTTTTGGTAGAATTGTCTTTGACCTGTTGGAGTGGTAAGGGATTGACAGTTGAAAACCTTCAAAAAAATTTCAGTGAATATGAGTTCTCACTCCAACTCACAGGTTTAACATCAGATTGAATGATGATTTTCTAAGAGGTGGAAGAACCTCTAACAAAAACTTTAGGGGCTAGAGGGAAAAAGGGCTGATTAAATAAAAAGATTTAAATAATATTTCTTCTATGTGAACTTTGACTGGCAAACAGGCATATAACATACCATCAATCCATTTCATGACAAAAGTAAATTTCTAAGTGAAAAAAAAGCATCATTGTGCTGGTTAATTTGTTAATTTTTAACAGTTAATTTTTAAAGAAAATGTGTTTTCCATTAAAACTAATGTAAATACCTATTGATTTTAAAATATAGTAACTATAAAAGTTATAAAATATAACCTTAATTTCTATTAAAATAGAAATATATTATATATATTTTACTTATGATATAAGATCTGGATATACCTAGACCAAGGGGATTCCCCTGGTTGTATAATTATGAGTCTTGTAAATTTCATTTTTTTGTTGTTGTTGTTGATCTGTATTTTTCCACAATGAACTTGTATGCACAGTTATTTTAAATAAAAAAGAATGTGCTTTTCATTATGAACCTATAAATCATTCTTTTAAAAATTAAGCTGTTGTCATTAATTTAAGTTTACTTACCAAGAGATTCTCCCCTGCCACTCCTCTGTTGTTAAAAACCACACATCTAAAAACCAGGAAAGTAATGTTTATTATTTTTACACACAATTCTTGCTCACAATATAATACATATTAAAATAATCTCAGTGGCACTGTTTTAGGGTACTAAAAGATTTTTAAAAATCTGTTCCAAAGACATGAGAATGTTTGACAATTTTATTTAAATGCACTAAAATACACTCCACTTCTCTAAGTTCAATATGTGAGTTCAAATCAGAAAATTGTATATTGAAGTGATGTTAAATTTTCCTACCAAAAGCAGAAATTTTACAACTTCTTCCTATACCTATGTGTAGGTTTTCAACACATGTTATTAAAACAATTCTAGATACAAATCAAATTTAAATGATTTTGCCTCAAACTAAAAAAAAAAAAAAAAAAAAAAAAAAAAAAAAGTCCTCTACCTATTCTCTTTGTAACATTAATGAAGTATCTATTCCTATTCTAAGAAATAGCTAGTTAAAAAAAAAAAAAGAAAAGAAAAGAAAGGCAGGAATAGTTATTTTTCCCTCAAGGCTCAGCAAACACAGAGACTGGAATTTTACCTGAGGTGAAAACATGACCACAGGTAGAGCTGCAAGGAACCTGGCACCTGAGCTGGTAGGAAGGGCCCCCACAACGCTACTGCTTGGTGTTCAGTGGACTTAGAGGAGGAAAGGCAAACTGTGTTTCCTATGATCTTGTTTGTCTCTCCCGGGTCAATGGTCATATGTTAAGGGTTTAGAGCAGTGTTGGCTCACTGTAAGTACACAAGGAAAGTTAGCTATTAGTAGCAATGGTAGTTGTAGTGCCGTGGTAGCTTTAAAAAGCCATTTTGTATTTAAAATGCTTAATTCTCATTTAACTTTAAGTCAACCATAACACCAGATATGTATTTTTTGCCATCCTCAAACAAAATCCTGACTCGGGTCTGCAAGGATTCTCTTTGAGTAAGTGAATCTATATTCATGTTGATTAAAATTCATTTTGGTGTTGTCTGTTTACTTATCCAATCAATCAAGGCCATTTAAGGTTCTAATTCCCTTCTTTCAGTGTGTTGCTGATCAGTGTATGGGTTAGGCCCAACTGAAAAAAAGGAAGTGTTTAAAATCTCAGAAATCTGACTTGAGATACAGTTGGATATATTACATTTTATTGACTAGTCAAAGAATGATCTTAAATATACTTTGAAAACGTGCAGAAAAGTTGGAGTAGGATCAGTGTGGCCTTAATCTTTTCTCACTAGAAAGAATGGCAATGCAGACTGGACATAAGCAAAATTTAAGTTAGCCACATGCACTTACTTGCATAAGCACCTAGGTTACACAAGAATCAGGGCTAAAGTTAATTGTGATCTTGAACTTTGAAGCTCCTAGTCATCCAGAAAAGAACTACTTTTAGAAAGCAAGCACTAAATAAGGATAAAAATGGCTTCTCGGGCAAGATGTCATCATGTGACTGCCACTGAGAGAAGGGAATAGAACTGGTAAGGGCAAAGAAAATGATGATCTGCAAAATCATGAAAAAGCAGTGTATACATCTGGGATTTCCTTCCAAACTCAGACTGAGATATTTGTACTTTCCTTCAGGCAACTTTCAAAAGTGGATCACAGCTCTGGTATCTCTTGCTAGAGGAGGAAATGTACTGACCTCTCCATAGGACTTTGTTCCTGACAATGTTCAATAAGTAGCAGTCATCACTGTATATACTTCTAAGCCTTGGAAATTGGGCAGAAAGATAAGGAAGAATGAGGGAGCAAAGCAGCTACAGAGAAAGGCAGAATGATGGCTGCCATTCTGTCCTTTATCCCATTCCAGTTGGTGACAAGTAACCAGTTTTTTTCATCTAATCTCCTTTTCTGCCCTGACAGTTATCAGGGAACACTTTACACATGAAGCTAAAAGAGCTGGTTGTGAAACAACTACTATTCCTAAGACTTTGATAAGCTTCTGTTATCTTTGTAATGGCTCTTTCCAAATAATTTTTACAAATTCTCCCAAACAATCTTAAAGGTTATGCATATGAGGAAAATTGTTCTGTAAAACTTATTTTTCCTATGTATTTTAGCTATTTAAATGTTCTCTCAAAATAGGGAAAATATAAATAAATATCAAATAGAGAATGCATTTGGTATTAACCTTCTGTGACACTAAAACACATTAATTAGAAAAGTAGGTGAGTCTTCTTTAAAGAAGGTTAAATAAAGGGTAGAGAGCTACCTATAGCACAGGATTTCCCAACCTTTAGTGCTATGGACATTTTGGACCAAATAATAGGAGAAGTTGTCTAAAGCCCCCTTGATTGAAAACCACTGTTACAGTAAGATGGACCAGATAGCCTTGAATCTGCTCAAGCGCAGTGATCTTCCAGAATAAAGGGATTTTACCAGATCACCTTAAATATTTTCCAGTTCTAGGATTATGTAAGTCTCTAAGTATAAGAACAGAAATAATAGTTGGAGGGTGGAGTAGGAGGAACATTCAAGATTACTATGCTGATTTCAGATAATAATAACAGATAAACATTATTATTTATTATACGCCAGGTACTTTACAAAAATATTAATATTGGAATGATTCATTCACTCAAAAATTTATTAAATAGACCATTTACTGAACTAAAGATTGAGTTAGAACTTATAGGAGAAAAGTCAAATATAAATATAAGGTTCCTAGCCTCAAAGAGAGGTATACTCTAGTTAGGTTGAAAAGAAATACATCATGTTTTCAGTTGAGTGACTACAATAAAAGTGATAACATAAGGCAGTATACAGTTCAATATCCAATGAATGGTGTAGATAATAAAGCTTTGTGAGATCAGGTTGGACAAAATTGATCAGGAAAGAATTCATGGAAAAGACCTATAAATAGTATGATGAAACTTGGAAAATGATAAAGATTTCAGAAGAAGGAAAGTATGAGATATAATATGGGTTGGAGGGGGCAGGGGGAGCAAAGATATAAGGTAGAAATGTATGAAATTTTCTAAGGGATGAGAAAATATATCATCTTATCAGAAACATGGCTATTTAGAGTATAACGATAGAAAGTAAGGATGGAAAAAATAGGTTAAGACCAAAATAGGTATAGAGTTCTGAATACCAGTTAAAGAAAAGATGACAAGAAGGTTCTGCTTCCAAACATGTCAGAGTAGATCCTATTAGGCCAATCCTTCCAAAGAATAATATCTATGAAGTCTTGATAAATTATAAAGGCAATGGAAAACAACCAAAGCAGGTAGAAACTAAATGAGAGTTGACACTTGTAAGAAAAAAATGGCATTGGATGAGTTTCTTTTTCTTTTCTTTTCTTTTTTTTTTAACAGCTTTTTGCCCAAGGGGATGCACCAGTTTCTATTATTCAATGATGGATGAAAGTCAGATAGAAATGCTATTTCATGGGCTTGAGAAACCAGAAAACAGACTTTGGTGCAACTATAGCAGTTAGAAAATGAGGAGAAAGTCTCACAAAAGAGGGAGAGTCCTAAATTCTGGGTAAAAACTGGGTCCAAAGCTCTGCTAAGCCTTTATACATATGTGAGACTCCAAGCAATCAAATTAAGGCTAGAAAACCGAACAGAGATTTCAGCTGCTTCTACCATAGAGGAGACAGTTTGAAGTTTGAGTTGAGACAAATTGTCTGCCTGATAAGACAAACAAACAAACAAACAAACAAACAAACAAACAAACATCAGTACTATTTGGAAAAATATAACAGAATCCAGAGTTTCTACAATGGATTATTCAAACTGTCTACAACACAAGCCAAAATTACTAGATCAGGAAGCAAACAAGAAAACATGGCCAATACTCAAGAGATAAGATAATCAATGTAACTGACCCTGAGATGGTGCACATGTTAGAATCAGTAGATGTGATTTAAAGCAGCTATTATAACTATGCTTAAGGACATAAAAGGAAAATAAGCTTGTAATGAATAAAAAAAAAAAATAGGAAATCTCAGCAGAGAAATAAAACCTATTAAAAATGGAAATTCTAGGTCAGAAAAATATAGTATATGAAATAACAAATTCACTTGATTTGTAAATTACAGTTCTAACATAAAGATGAAAGAGAAATAAAGATTCAAAAAAATGAATAGAACATTGGTGATTTGTGGTACATTATCAAAAGATCTAACACACATGTATGTAACTGTGGCTCCAGAAGAAGATGAGAGAGAGAATGGGGCAGAAAAATATTTGAAGAAATAATGGCCAAGCTTTTTCCAAGTTTGATAATAAGACAAAAAACACAGAGTCTCAAAAAAAGAAAGAGAAATGCTAGGAAAATAAAGGAACAACAAACAACAAAAAACCAGAAAGCAAAGACTATAATGGTAAACCTATATCCACCATATCAATAATTACATTAAATGTAAATGGACTAAAATTCCTATTAAAATCAAGAAATTATCAGACTGGACAAAAAAGGCGAGGCCCAACTATATGCTATCTACAAGCAATATACTTTAAATAAAAAGATACAGATACTTTGAAAGTTGAAGTTTGAAAAAAAATGTACATGGTAAGTTTAAGAAGTCTAGTGTAGCTACAGTAATATCAGATAGATATCACAACTAGAGATAAAGAAAGACATTTCATAATGGTGAAAGAATTAATTCATAGGAAGACTAACAACCATAAATATATCTATGACTAATAACACAGCTTCCAAATACATGAAGCAAAAATGACAATTAAATGGGAGAAATAGAAAATCCATAATCATAGTTGATTTCAACATCCTTCTATCAATCAAAAAAAAGTTAGGAAAGATATAAAGAATCTGAATCACACTATCAACTATCTTAACCTAATTTACATTTATACAGCATTATATCCAATAGCATAATACACATTATTTATTTAAAAAAAATTTTTTTTTAATGTTTATTATTGAGAGACAGAGAGACACAGAGCATGAGCAGGGGAGGGGCAGAGAGAGAGGGAGACACAGAATCGGAAGCAGGCTCCAGGCTCTAAGCTGTCAGCACAGAGCCTGACGCGGGGCTCGAACTCACAAACTG